CGATGGTGATGGTGATGGTGATGGTGAGGGTAATGGTGATGGTGATGGTGATGGTGATGGTGATGGTGATGGTGATGGTGAGGGTAATGGTGATGGTGAGGGTAATGGTGATGGTGAGGGTAATGGTGATGGCGATGGTGATGGTGATGGTGATGGTGAGGGTAATGGTGATGGTGATGGTGATGGTGATGGTGAGGGTAATGGTGATGGCGATGGTGATGGTGATGGTGATGGTGAGGGTAATGGTGATGGTGAGGGTAATGGTGGTGGTGATGGTGATGGTGATGGTGAGGGTAATGGTGATGGCGATGGTGATGGTGATGGTGATGGTGATGGTGAGGGTAATGGTGATGGTGAGGGTAATGGTGATGGTGATGGTGATGGTGATGGTGATGGTGATGGTGAGGGTAATGGTGATGGTGATGGTGATGGCGATGGTGATGGTGATGGTGAGGGTAATGGTGATGGTGATGGTGATGGTGAGGGTAATGGGGATGGGGAGGGGTTCATGCCTTATGGTGAAATAGGAATTCGATCTTTGTGTTAGGGATAGTTGATAAGGACGCGAACATGATTCCGATGATAACCGATCTTTTATTTCTTCTAAATCTGGATGCAATAGTAATATGGAAGGTAGATGCCCTCTGGAATAGTCAAACCTCAGTCCTGTTGGAATCGGTGGTATCTTCGTGCAGTGCTGCTGTGGGACGTTAATGCATTTCCTCTGATGAAGTACGGTCTTGCTGCATTTGTGGTGTGGGACGGTGATGCCTTCTGGTACAGAACATTCTCAGTTTTGGTGCGATAGTGATAATGACCACTAGTATGTCGAACAGACCGACAGCGCAGAATGCAAAGTTGTATGATCTTGTGGCGTCGAAAATGGCACCTGTGTAATTTAAAAAATAATTGGAGTCAAGAAATTATGCAATACTGCCAACATTTTTTATGATATTCGAATTGCATAACCTTACTTTCATTTCACGCTATCATAGGTTGATACTTGTTGTGAGGCGGGCACATTTTTTTTCTTGCCCTTGTGTTTTTATACACTTGTATCTCTCTTCTACTTTTTCATTTGCAGGGAAGGAAGTTGGAGAATACTCAGGAAATTGAAGCACTTTAGGTCAAGTGATACACTTTCGAAACTGGAAAATCTATATTAGAGCAAAAGGCATCAGCCCCCCCTCCCCCTCCCCCTCTCGAAAATTGTTCCCATGTGCCTATGTGGGGGAGGGGGGATATTTCACTTACCAAACAGCGCTCCACTCATCGGAAAGCTCAGACCAATGCAGAAGTATAACAAGGGCAACCCGGAAGAATAGCGATCTTCTCCCACCGCACTCATTGTGAGTAGCTGTTGCGAAGGTGGTTTTAACCCCTGCATGATCCCATAAATGACGGACAACACCATAAGAAGCCAGAAGGATTCTGCGATGAAGTTTGTAAAGAAAGCAGCAGCGCTGATGATATTGATGATACAGTACAAGATTTCCACGCTAAGGAATTCCTTGGAGACGAGGGCGCCGATTCCAAGGCGACCTAAGAAGTTGCAGACGCCACCAAATGCATGGCCCTACAGAGGATTTTTTTTTCCTGTTGGGGATTGGGTAAAAATGCAATGAATCATTGATAATTTATTGTATTTTCTTTGTTTATTTTTTGTGTGGGGGCGTCGACATACCCTAGCGCCCGCTGCGTACAGTCATGATTCATTGACTAAGCAATGCATGGCCTCGTTACTGTGAGCCCCCAGGATAAAAACCGTGTCGATGTGCTATAATAGTGCCCTTTTATGAGGCATTAATCCCCATTACTGTCAGTTATGACTTAAGGACGTAGGTCCCCTAGTTGATTAGCATAGTAGCACACACATGCTTTAGCAATCACGCAAAACAAACACTCCCCAATTGTCATTCAATAAAATCTGAGAATGTATACTATTATCTAGATCTATTAGGAATAAATCATTGTCAAAATCATTCAAAAAATTGAGGTAAAAAAAATTATTCCACCATTATGACCAACAGTGTGTAATAGGGAGTCACTTCATATATATATATATATATATATATATAACCCTATATATCTCTCTGTTCAATCTTTCCCTTTTATTTTCCTTTATTTTCCGCTCCCGCCCTCCCCCCCCCCCCCCCTCCCCCCACTCGACGATTTATATCATTGGTGTGTGTGGGGTAATTTTGTGCATATATTATATTCCTATGTGTATTTCTTTTTGATTTTCTTATTTGTATTTATTATATTATGTTCATTAATTTTGTATTTATGTATTTTTCGTTTATCTGTGACTGTGTTGTTTCATTTTGTTTGTAATGTCAGAGGGTCCCTATGAAAACAACATTCGTGCTGATCAGGGTCTTTCATCCCACAAGCGGAAAATAATTAATAAATTAATTACTTAATTTTCCTTATTGTTCACTCATCTTTGTTTTATGCATGTGTGATGGTTTGATAGTTATAAAATTCATTTAACGAAAGCAAACTTACTTTACAACGTACCGTACTTTGGTAGAGGCATAATTATATAACCAACATAAAATAGTTTTCAATGATACCAATTCAATATTTAGACTTTATAAAAGGAAAGAAAAGGCAGATATACACATGAAGGATAATGATTGAATAATTTTTTATTTTTACTGATAATCTTTAATAAATAAGAATATTTACAGTGTAATGGCATATATTATACATTGTAAAACGTTTCGCTAAGTCAAGTTTTTTTTTCAAGGCACTAATGGAATGGCACACATAATATTCTTTTTTGTTGTTGGCACGATTACAATATTCTGCATCTATACTATCGGAGAGATAAAAGTGAAGGAGCTAATTTCCTCAGCTAAGTATAGGTCTATATTTTCTAATCATCTCCTATATATCCTAATAAGACCTTAAAGCCCCACTGCACTACGTATAGCTACTTGCGCCCTCTATATAGCAAACCATGCCTAATCGGTGACCACTGGTCCCCCATGATCCCCCTTTTCTTATGTTAATAGCTGACTTGATGAGATAACCACCTGTCAGTGACCATGCTGGGTGGTATAATCCCTCCTGGCCAAACTAGTACAGACGGGATTTAATTGCCAAATGAGTGAGGTCATAAAGGCCATAATTATAAGGCAATAGAATTTCAAATAATAGTCGAATGTAATGAAAGATTTTGTTTAAATGGAAAAACACCAGGGCAGCGTTTCACGAAGCAGTCATAAGTACAAGTTCACCGACATCCCATTGAAACGCATGTATTAAACTTAACAAGCATTTGAATATGTTGTCGGCAAACTCGTACTTTAATACGACAGTTTCGTGAAACAATGCCCGGACAATCAACATCGTTACCTGGAGAATTTGTGAATAAGAATAACAATTTACATTACGTAGTTCATCTCATATCAGGCTACCCTCGTCAGTCATGCCTGTTTTGTTCAGCCTTGGAAGGTTAGCTAACGACTGTTGTCCCCCACTTTCCCTCTAAAAAAAGAAAAACTCTTTTGTCATTCATAGCTCATCTTCGCAGAGCAAAATATTATCTTTGGAATGAATAACAACGCGTGTTTTGAGGTTTTTAGAAACAAGAGAGCCTCGGAAAGTCTTCCAAGTGTTAGTCATTTCCTTTGGAGAAGATCCTAGTCAAGACAAGACAAGACGCTCCAGGGTGGAATAACAAAGATCCCCATTTCACAATACAAGTACAGAGAGGCATAGTTATTTTTCTGTGAACGTCAGTTAAAGTATCAAAATCATACTATACTGCCCTTCCATGACAAAACAGCATAACTGACATTTAGAGTTTTTGAGATATAGGAGGAAACGTGCATTTCAATTTGCTATTAAAAGTGTCTTAATGCTTTTATTCAGTGCTGACTTATCAAAATAGGTAATCATAGTTTTTTTTTTGAAACCCTGAATTTTTGTTTAACATGTGTAACTTAATGTTCTGAGTCACCCACATTAAATAACTGAATTGTGCAATAATTGTCACAGTTATGCTGTTTTGTCATAGAAGGGCAGTATAGGCTTTGGCATCATCATTCTACAATACATGAGGTATCATTACCGCAATGACCAGGGGATTGTAGTGGACTATAGTATAGGTTTCACTTCTTTAAGTCAATTTCATACTTTTCGCTTTCAATTTCGTCCCGAAACATCCTAATATTCAATTTCGTCCTTATTTATTCATTTTTTTAAACTTTGTCCAATCAATTTGATCATTTTGCATCTAATTTCGTCAAGGTCAAATCAATCGCCATCCCCGCCTGGCAACGTGCACTTGCATGAATCAATTTCGTCGCAAAGACAAGACCTTGTATTAATGAGTGACGAATTTGAATGAAACTCTCTTGAATTAAATTGATTGCAAAAAGACGAATTTATTACATTCTGCAGCGGACCGCCAGGTTGAGACTGCGAATTTGAACGAACTCTGATGAAAATGAATGGACAAGCGTTTAGAACGATTGACCATTAACCAGCATGAATGACAAATTACCAAATTTACTTTTAAATGTGCACGATCCCGGATTTCTAGAACAAAATTGATGAATTTGAATGAAAAAAAGGTCTTACATAAAAACTGGAATGAAACATTATTGGAGGCCCATCTAATTCCGATTTGCAGGCTCCTGAGGGGTGATACATGATTCTTTTAAACATGTATAATGAGGTCTCTTGCAAAAATGGTATGGAAAATTAATCTGCAATTTTCCAACAAGAAAATAATACATGTGTTGTCTTTCCACCCACCCATCAAACGAGGTCCCTCCCTACTCCTCAGCATGATCACTGGCTTTCACTTGAGGTTTGTACTGGGCCATATTCCTATCAGGTAGACCTCGTTTAAAATACGCTTATTGCTTACATTGAAAGACTCTCCTTCAATATATCTGATGGCCAAACTATAAAACTAAAACATTTAATGAATGGACTGAATGCAACAACACACACAAAAAAAAACATAGACAAGGAAATATATCTATACTACCTTCTTAATTACCTCATTCTAGATTTTAATCAAAACAAAAACACAGCCAATTTCATTGTAAGCTTGGAGTAAATATTCTTTGGAAGACAACTAGTACTGCATTTTGTTCGAAGCATCCTGGAAAAATAATAGAGTTGAGGTTTGAAAGTTTGAAAACTTTACAACCATTTCAGGCATCGACGTCGGGTCGTAGTGTCCTATGAGTACACGACCAAATTTTCAATAACTAAGGGCTGTTTTCCACCGATTGTGTTGACTGCAACATAGTACTTCTGAATTTCGGCCTCGTATGGTACTTTAAAATGTAAGGATACTGAGAGAGGTTCTAAATCTCCATCCTCTTCTTCGCATTTTAATAACTTCACTTCACAAAATATTGGGTAATCTTCTCCCCTGTCGACGATTTTAAATTCGTAACAGTCGTTTCGTGGTAAATGCGCACTTGTCCGTAAATCGTACAACGAGGAGTGTTGCATGTTGATTTCTGATAACTCGATGAAACCGTCTGGCCTGACGACTAGCTGCACACCTTGGACTTTATCCGGGGATGGCGGATTGACACCGGATGATCGGATAATGATGCGAGCCGCTTCCCCTTTCACGGCGTTCGCTGAATCTCGGCTCAAAAATTGTAATTTACCTTCAACGACTACAGTTTTTCCTTTAGATTGCAATTCCGCTTGATAAGGTATTTTAGAAACTAACCAACTTGCCTCTCCTTCCAAAACGGCTTGCTCGGTTCCCAGAAAAACCAACGCAACGTCATCCAACAAAACCGGCTGCCACAAATTTCGATTCCAGAGATTGGTATCCGAATCAATCGGTGTCGGTTGTTGGCCGTTGACATTCTTTATACTCTCCATGAAGTTTTCTGGCAAGTTGTAATGTATCCGTTTCGGATCCATGTTCTTCCTGAAGTGAACCAAATCCGGTAGAGGCATGATGTCGTAAACATCGGTCCAAACAGTTATCGAGAACCGTGATGTAAGACTGAGAAGAAACCGAAGTTGCCGCATGGATTTACGCGCATAAATCACTCGGACAGCGAATGAAACCGGTAGATTGGCTCCCGCACAAGTCTTCGCCATTTCTATCACATTATACCACGAATATCGGATCTGCGGCGCATCCGGACTCCAGCTCGTTGCCCATCCAAGCATGAGCGTCGAACTCGGAAAGTTACTGTGAACCAGAGTGATAAACTGGCCCGGATCAACCGGCACCTCAGCGAGATTCGGACCCGGAAGGATATCTGCGTGCAACCAAACCGGCGCATGAATCTTGCTCTTCATTTCTTTCAACTGCGGTAAAGCTAACCGAGCGGTTTCGATATCCGGGAAGTTCAATTGCACTCCTTTATTCGAGTATCTGGATAGGAAATAGAGATAACGTTGCAGAGATACGCTGTCCTCGTTGAGTTTCGTAGGATTAGGAGCTACGAGAACAGAGCCATTAGTCTTCTTTTTCTCATCAGTCCACTTCACTCTGACGTCGGTTTCAACCATCATTAACATGTAATCTGAAAAGAGAAAGACAGGGACAGAGAGAGAGAGAGAGAGAGAGAAGGTCAGATAAATTTTAAGTGCATAGAAACAAAATATAGATTTACACATCGCTTTTCTTACTAGTTTTCGATCACAAAGTTGGAGTGGAAATAATGTATACAAATGTATGCAAAAACATGTTACAATTCATATCTTACTTTATAAAACAATATAAAATCTTACTACTTAATAGATATTAATCATCACAGTTGTTGATTCGTTATATCTGAATCCCCCTTTCATTGTTGTTTTCTCTCCCCCCCCCCCTTTATATATCTCTTTTTTCTATTTCACTTTCTCTCGTCTTAGTTGAAGTGTCTATACTTTGTTTATTTTACTTAATTTGTTGTTGTGTGTTTATAATACTTTGTAGTTCTGTAATGTGCGATCCAACTTTACAGGTTTTCGCAACCTTCATGTAAGGCCCGCATTTAGCTTTTGTAAATATAGTTAAAAATTTACTGTTACCATGTATACTTTGATTTTTATATTGCAAAATAAATTGAATTGAATAGAATTATAAATCATTACCTTGTGTGTCTAAAGACCTACATCAATCACGCAATAATTGCGTGATTTTGTAGGCCTTTGCAATTTAAATATATGTTTCAATTATACTTTTCTCTCTTTTTTTATTTCTTTTAAAACATATTTATTACTGAACTGTTACCTTATTTGCATACATACTTTCAACGTCCTCCAGGCAGAAGTGAGTTTTTACCATGCATAATTAATACACCAATTCAAAAGAGAAAATTGAATATCTCCATCATTATACCTTGCATGGCTTGAAATAAAAGACTTCTGCTGTTAACGGCACTGGACCATGTAATCTCCATACCATCTACGTACATGGTCAGGAAGTAACCTAGGAGTGCGTCCCCCGTATGAAGCTTGGGAAAATCCTCCATCGTCTCAACAGAGGGCGGCAATCTGGATTTGTCTGAATGAGAAATTGAATTGAACGTAAGAAGTCGCGGGAAAACTATGCCTAACGAATAATAATTGTTGAAATTGGGAGTACAACAATAGCTGATGAAACTCAACCAGAATGAAGCTTTACATTTACTATTTGAAATGCTTACCTGGGAGTTACTTTCATCATAATTAAACTTTACTTAATAGATGGCGGGGTAGGGGGGGGGGGAGGATCCACGGCTTCAACGATTGTCGGAATTTTAAAAAGAGAGTGAGAGATACAGACAGAGAGAGAGATAGAGAGAAAGAGAGAGAGAGAGAGAAAGATAGACAGAGAAGGGGAAGGAGGGTAGAGGAAGAGAGAAATGGAGATGATTGAAAACCTTCTCACCCCACCCCAATTAGTGGCATTGTCAATTTCCATTTCATCCATTCAGTAAGACAGGTGCAGTATCACACCCCTCAACCCCCCTCAACCCCCCCCCCCCCCCCCCCCCCCCCCCCACTCCGAGAACGGACGGACCCCATGCGTGTTACCAAAATGTCCGGCTTGTAACAAAAGAAAAAGGTCGACCCGTATTGACTGTACACACCGGACTTTTGCTGAAAGGGGGGGGGGGTCGCTTGGAACACGCATATGCGTACCTAAATAACACTGAGTGGAGGGGGGCCGCCCCCCCCCCCCCCCCGCCGCCGCCGCAACCATATGGTTTTCGTTTACAAGACATTTAATATTTTCTAATGGCAACATAATGTTACACGACTCTTCTGCCATAGCCATTATACATATAGTATTTATATGATTTATATAATTTTATTTCTGAAATAAATGAATCATAATAAAAATAGACAGTGGTACAACAGAGATGATTACATATAGCATACATGGCACAGGACGATGGATAGTAGGGCATAAAATATAAACCTAAATCGTACAGTTGTTTAAATTCGCTTTAAAGCTCAATTAGATAATACATATGAGGTTATTAACGGTTACAAAATATTAATTAAATGGAAATTAATTAGATATAGACCTAGGTGTTGTTTTAACATATGAGAACGATGTGGTTATTAGTAACGTGGATTATATTGATGATCGAGGGCGGTAGACTAGAGTCAGTGAGAGAGAGGGAGAGAGAGAGAGAGAGAGAGAGAGAGAGAGAAAAGAGAGAGAGAGAGAGAGAAAGAGAGAGAGAGAGAGAAAGAGAGAGAGAGAGAGAGAGAGGGGGGTGACATGCTTCCGATAGCCTAGGTAAGAAAGGTTTCAATCGCCTAATTCCCACAGCTCCAGCTCCTGGCGTGACGAGATGGCATTAATTTATAATTATGACAGCCAAAAAACAGATGACCTTCTCTCATTCCCCTAATTACATCCCTGTGTTACACGGATGCAAAATAAACATGCCGGGGTATAGCAAGGGTCCAATCATTGAGGGGGCACTAGCATTAATGGGGTAAGGGGGGCTGAAATACGTAATAACAAGGCTATTAAATAGGGGGAACCATCTGTTTTCTTATCATTTTCTTCACACTTCTCTCTTACATGTTCTATCAATCTCTCTCTCTCTCCCTATCTTCTTCTTCTTCTTCTTCTTCTTCTTCTTCTTCTTCTTCTTCTTCTTCTTCTTCTTCTTCTTCTTCTTCTTCTTCTTCTTCTTTCTCTTCTTCTCCTTCCTTTTCTTCCCCTTGATTTCTTTTTTGCCTTATGATAGTGGTGGGATAAAGAAGTACCCCCGTGCCCCCGTACCCTCGTCAATAATAATAATAATAATAATAATAATAATAATAATACGAACATTTTATATAGCGCTTGTGACATAAAAGTTTCAAAGCCCTGTACACAGATCAAGATTACTTCAAGAAAAATTAATGTTATTAATGGAATTAACATTACTTAAATTACCAATATTATTAACATAACTGAACAAAATTGTACATTACTTAGATTACCAAGAAGATCAAACATTATTAACATTACTAAAGAAATTGACACAACATAACAATGTATATATAAATATGAAAGCTTGAAATAATATGAGGTACAACTTACCTCGAAATTCTTTGTCGAACTCATCTTCCGGTGGATTGAAAAACATATCTGTAAACAAGAACGAAATACAACATATTATGGAAATAATGATAGAGCTAGCAAATATTAGAGATAAAGGGGAATATAATGTCAGATCTTATTTGTATCCCAAAGTGAAAGAATATACATAAGCATCCCCCCCCTCCCCAAGCGCGTAGCCAGGATTTCATTTAAGGGGGCGGTAGTGAGCACGCAAAGCGTGCGAATCTCTTACAGAGCGTGCGAAGCGCGCTCCCTAGGGGTGGGTGCAGGGGGGGGGGGGAGCTTTGACGTTTCATTAAATTATTAGAGAAAGAAGACGATTCGTTGTACCGTTCTCGACTCTTGATCCTTATCTGAATTCAGTTTCTCCCCCCCCCCTCCTGCGCGAAGCGCGGAAGCTTTGACGTTTCATTAAATAATTAGAGAAAGAAGACGATTCGTTCTAGACTCTTAATCCTTTTTCTTCCTACGTCCTCTTCCTTTCTTCTTTCTCTCTCTCTCTCTCTCTCTCTCTTTTTTTTGGCCGGCGTTTTTTGGGGGAGGGCGACCGCCCCATCGACCCCCCCCCCCCCCTGGCTACGCGCCTGCCTCCCCCTCCTCCACACTCTCCTCTGGTTCTGGCAAGGATTGTATTCACGTGCATGTGCGGGATCATAGCCATCTGCAGGGGACATAGTGTATAAATCAATATCTCTTTGTACACAAATTAATCATTGTTAGAATAATACTATAAAATAGAGTTAGCCTATACCCTTCAACGTGATACAAGGGTATAAAAACATGTAACCTGGGAATGATTGATAGCTGTTTACACAGAATCCGACACGCAATTAAAGGTAAAAAAACAGGTTTGGAAACGCCCCCCTCTCAGAAAATGAAATGGATGCTCTTATTACCAATCATGTGAAAGAATATGTTTCGACTAATACGTGATGATACAAATTTAGCCGGGAAACCGCCTACTAGTTGATATTTAGTAAATTATTATATCTATTTGGACCTGATAGATATAACGCACGTGTGGGCGTAGTCCCATATACATATTTCTGTGTACAGTGCTTGTAAATTTATCAAGACTGGGTCAAATTTCTTACAAATCTAAAAACGCCCCCCTCTCAAAAAATGAAATGGAAGCTCTTATTACCAATCATGTGAAAGAATATGTTTTGACTAATACGTGATGATACAAATCTAGCCGGGAAACCGCCTACTAGTTGATATTTAGTAAATTATTATATATATATTTGGACCTGATAGATATAACGCACGTGTGGGCGTAGTCCCATATACATATTTCTGTGTACAGTGCTTGTAAATTTATCAAGACTGGGTCAAATTTCTTATCATTTTGAGGATTCCAGAACCTTGCAGTACACACCAATACTTATACATGCTAGATGATCAACCTTTTCTGATCAATTCCACAACGTTTCTTTCACAATGCAATCGCATGGCCATGAACTGGTCTTTATCTTTAAAACAAACATTCGTTTAGCTCATGGAAATGCAAACTTGCAACTTGATGGTGGGCAAGCAGGAGCAAACTGCTCGAAAATATAAAAGCAACGTCGCTCTGCTGAGTTTATGTATCACGAAAATGAAAGAACATGAGCCTGAGAGAGACATGAATAGTGTAAAGGGTAATTGTGTAGGAACAGAATGTGTCGTCTTTTGAAGTTTCATTTTAACTACGTATTAGTATTTGAAGATGATTTCTTTCCTTTTCGTCAATATCCACCGATTGAATTAGATATCAACAACAACTTTCGCATTGAAAGTTAAAAACAGTACAATTTATACACAGAGACCCGCCGCGGTACTAATGTCCTTTGGCAAGACATTGGTCTACATTTGCCACACTCAACCCAGGTGATGGTACCTGGCATGAATTAATTCTTTGAAATGCTAGAGCGCCGTAATGGCATCAGCACAGCTTAAAGGTAAAGACCAGTATTGGAAACGCCCCAATTTCAAAAATGAAATGGAAGCTCTCATTACCAATCGTGTTAAAGAATATGTTTTGACTAATACATGATGATACAAAATTTGCCAGGAAACCGCCTACTAATTCATATATTTGGTAAATTTGTTTCTCTCATGGTCTGTGAGAGATATAGGGTAGTCCCATATACATCTTTCTGTGTATAGTGCTTGTAACTTTACGAAGAATGGGCCAAATTTCTTATCATTTTGATGATTCCAGAACCTTGCAGATGCTAGATGCTAGATGATCAACCTTTTCTGATCGATTACACAACGTTTCTTTCACAATGCAATCGCATGACCATAACTGGTCTTTACCTTTAAGCTGGGGTAATAATCTCCAAGTTTGGAAGCGCTTAGTGATTGTAATAAGCGCTATACAAAAACTGAGTATTATTATTGAGTAATGAAGGCTAAAAATATACAAATTTCTCAGTCTGATGTAATTCCGTCATCTGCATTGATTTGATCTTAGAAGTACCTCAAATATGCTTGGTGTTATGATTCCTTTGTTGTAATAAAGAGGACCGAAGTAATAACGTCATAATCGCTCGTCGTCCAGATTGGTTCTAAACAACACAACCCGCGCCTGAGGTTTACCGCGAAATCATTCAAGCAGCGAGCTTGAGCTGGGCAAATTCTAAGTTTGGGGCTGGTGTGATTATCACGCCATTGTTTAGCACAACAATTGTTTAGCCTGGAAATTACCATGGGACATAAAGCTAAATGAAACTTTGATCGACAAAAATAATAATGTCTGGGAAACAGTCAGAAAACTTTAGAACTAGAATGAAACATAATGCTGTAATGTAAACAAGCTATTTTAGTCATGTTAATCCTCAGTACTAAATAACCAAGCAAAGCTCGAACCGACGAGAACGACACCAAACCGACTCTTCAAACCGACAACACGCCGAACGCAATTTAACATTACGACTATGGTTTTTAAACAAATCAGTTGGTTTGGTGTCGGTCTGACGTCGGTTAGGCGGTTTGACTGGGTATAATACCTTGGTCAAACCGACGAGACCGACATCAGACCGACAGCACACCGAACGAAAATATTACATTACGACTATGGCCAAAAAAATCGGTCGGTTTGGAATCGGTCTGAAGTCAGTTAGACTGGGTATAATACCATAGTCAAACCGACGAGACCGACAGCACACCGAACGCAATATTACTTTACGACTATGGCCAAGAAAAGGTCGGTATGGAGCCGGTCTGAAGTCGGTTTGGCGGTGTGACCGAGGCATTATTTTATTACAAGGCTATAGGTGCTGGGTAGAGCCCTTGCAAATTTAATATTCGAAATAGGTTGCGTTAATCGACCAAATTTTTGGCTAGAATCAGGTTTCTCAAACGTCTTTCAGGCAAATTTAGAAGGTGATAAACGCAAAGCCTTTTTTAAAGGGCTTTAGATATGGGCATATCTAAAGACGCAAAAAGGTATGTTTTGAATGTGACATGCAGCCAGAATCACGTTTCTGAGAGATCGATAAACGCAAGGCTGTTTTGAACCTCACATACAAATAGGAATTCCCAGGCTAGTCTCCGGTTCGGAGAAATAGCGCTGAGCAGCTGCGAAGAGACAAGGCCTTTATTGTGAATCGTGAAGAGTTGATAAACGCGACATCCCGCAAATCACGATCGTATAGTGGGGTTCGATAGTAG